GGAGGAGATGGCATTGACACATGGCATATAAGGGGTGACTTTCACTTGGCAAGCTTGTACGTGAAGTGGCAAGGGTCAAGAACCCTGCCCTCCGTACCCCGCGGTATCTCTTGCTTATGCGCTATTATTGGAACCAAATTATCCCTGATTTATATATATATGTATTTTAACTATTTAATTAAAATTGTTGCTACCTTAAATATTGTTTGGTTTTTTTATGATGGGATAATTGGGCAAACCTAACATTTCCTTTCAGACTTCAAACACAAGTGCCTTCTCCAACACCAGAAGGATGTGGATTGATTTCACAGGTTACTTCTGCTTCTCAGCTTTGTTCCTTCCTTTCACTCTCAGATCTCTGCTTTCCCCTTTCTCTGCCTGATTTTTCGCATTTTTACCTCAGGCCTATCCAGACAAAGAAGCTGATTCTGAATATGAAGCTGAATGAAGATAAACTCAAATCCAACTGGCAATGTGAGTGGAGGTTCCCTGTGTAGCCCTAGGAATTTTTCTCTGGAAGCGCCTTTTGAATGTTAGTTGATGACTGCAATCCCTTTGATACCATGCAGAGCCTCAACATGTTTTCCCTCCTGTTATTTCCCCTTTCAGATGCCAGACTGACATTTTCCAGAGCTGAGGAGATGGATAAGTTACAGTCAGCCCCAGCTGATTGTAGGTAAATATAGGAAAGCCATATTTTTGATTCGTTTGTTCCTGATTTTTTTAAATATAATAAACTTCCAGGGGAATTGCTATCCCAAGAGGGAATTGTTCATTCCTGGAGGAGTCCTGGGCTGATCCAAGAGAGCTGTGTCTTTTAACACTTGTGTTTTGTTCCATCCTACTGCAGATTGAGGTGAATGGCTTCAGGACTCCTGGGGAGAGGAAGAAGCTGGGCCCACTGGTGCCTGAAGGATGCCCATTATTTGAAATTCCTGATGCTCCTCCACTTACATAAAGCCCTGCCTGGAAGGAAAAGGGAAGTTCTTCAGTGATAAGGCCAGGAACTAAGGTAAAAGGAGCTTTTCTTTTACAGCCTTTTCATGCTTCCTGTATGGCCATCAGCAAGTCACACACTGGGTCTCTGTGAAAGGTAGGAGGGCCCACGTTATTTCATAAAATTTCTCTTTAGAGACAAACTGGGGATCTGCTTCCTCTCGACTTCCAGGGCAGAACTAAGCAGCAGGTAGATTTAAACTAAGCCTAGTGTTTAGCTCTCCTGCCAAAAAGGCAGTAACAAGTGTGTAAAAAATGAGCTGAATTTCCTGGTTTTGATCAGATTAGGCACTCTGAACACTCAGGACAGATTCTGCTTCATTTTTGAAAGGGAAAAGCGTAGTAAATGCCTATTAACTAAGGAAAATGTTGGCATGTATGGCGATCAGCTTAAACTGTGTCAATTTCTGGTTTCAGCACACAGGGGCAGTGTTGCACTGACGAACTTAATTTCAGAAAGAAACTTGTACTGTTTGAAGGAATCTAGGAAAACACAGGGCAGTTGCCAGCTGCCTTGACTGATGATAAATACAGGGTTTGATTGGGACCTCTGCAAAGTGAAATCAGTGGTAACTTTTCCTGCTGTAGCAGTGCTCGATGAGGGAAAGTGTTCTGGCTGGACTGTTCCTAATTTATTTTCCCTTACATGGCAACTGTGCAAAACTTCAATTATATTGTTCTGTGTGGAAAGCCGTTTTCTGAGCCCGGGTTCTTTCGGTTGTATCCCATCAAAGAGTATGTCAGCTCTGTCCTGAGAGGAACTCCTGTGTGGAATAAGAGCCTGCTGAGGAGGTAGCACAGTATTTGGCAGCTCTTCTGAGGTGATTGATCAAACCTCTTTCCTTAGCTGGTTGTGAGTCTCTGATACATGGAAGCACCTGCTTGTGACCTTTTTACAGCTGGATTAACGGCATGAAAAAATAGCAAATTTGAGGGCGGTAAGAGGAGAAAATTCTGTGCTTGCAATCATGACAAATCTGATGGAGTTTTGGCAAAAAATATGTTGGATTCAGCACTTGAAACAAACCACAGTGCTGGAGGAGAAGTAAAATTCTCTCTCAGAAGTATGTTGACAACTTTAAATCATCAGATGCAGCAGACCCCGTGAGAAATAGAGCTCTCACTGGAAATCTGGTGTCCACAGACAGCTGTGATGACAAACGTTTCCTATGGGAAATGGATGCAATCCAGAGAAGTGCCTCGGGCTGTTCACAGGCTCTGTGTCCTTACACAGCCTTACCCAGTCCTGCTGGCTGAGGAGAGCAGGAGGCACGGCCTCAGGAGAGCTCCCAGAGGCTTTTCCTGTCCCTGGAAGGGCTGTGCAGAGCATGGGCATGAATTGCTCTTTGTGGTGCCTTGGAGCGAGGGTTTTCACACTGAAACATTAGGAGTGTAAAGCCTCAGAAATCTGATTTGAGTCAGGCTAAAGAGTGAGTTCTGGATAATAGCAACCTGTGAGCCTGACCAGGTTGTGAGGCTAATGAAAACTCAGCCCCTGGGAGGGAAGCTGAGGGAGCAAAGCTCAGGATAAGCAAGGATTGAGGAATCATCTACCATGAAAAATAAAGCGAGGGGCCTCTTTCCTGCATTTGTCCCCAGGGTTGTCAGGAATGAGACCTGGGACGTGTGGGGCAAATAGAAGGCTCTGGGAACCTGCAACATCTTAATGGCTGGAATGGGAATGGGCTGGCACGGACAAATGCAAGGAATCCTGGGTTTAGAGTCCCAGCTCCAAAGCTTTTCCCCCACTGTTCATTAAGGTTTTGTTAACACAAGGCCCTGAGAGCTTGCAAAACCAGAAGGAGAAATAATGCACATTCCATGCAGGGTGAGATCAAAAGCTGGGGGTGCCTTAGAGGCAGACACTACTGTGTGTTTCCTCAGCTCTGCCAACAGGAAAGGCAGTGGGCTCTGGTCTCCTCTCTCTATTGTCCATTTGAGATCCAGTTAAAAGTCAGGAAAGGATTTGCACACCTTCTGTGACACGTGCTGTGATATATGTTAAGGGATGAGCCAAGTCTTGAAGTCTACATGCACATATGGAAGAGCAGATCCACCCACAGCCACATGTTCTACCATAGGTAACTGCCTACACGAATAAAAGTATCCAGAGTTTTGGTGTTGCTTCTTATTCCATTTATTGGAAAAGCGTTGGCATTTTCTGGCAATGTAAATGGGGAAAATAAATATGTCCTGGGAAGCTGGTAGGCTCCACACAGAGGAAAAGCACTTTATGAGAGCAGAATTATTAGCAGTGCTCCACTGAGCTGATTTGGAACAGGTCCATTGTGTTTTCAGCAACTGGCAGTTTGGATTGTTACAATTCCTTGGCAAGGACAATAGAAAGATGGTGGTTTCCGGGGGCATAATAAAAGGGTGAGCCCCAGCTTTGCACACTGCATTTTATAATTGCGTGCTTGATGTGCACAATTGGGCAGCACTGCCTTACTTGCCTTAATCCATCTCTCTCTCTCTCCCTCCCTCTCTCCCCCCTCACTTCCTCACCCTCCTTCAGAGCAGCAGTAGCTGCTGCAGCTCTGGCCGCTCATCGGGGAGAGCACCGAAAATGAAAAGAGCTCAGCTATCGCCTTAACGTTTTTCCCAGAGGATTCATTTCACCTGCTTCCCCAGCTTTCCCAATGGTTTCTTTTTCAGTCTTTAATCCAATAAGTATGGAGTTATTTCACATTTTAAACCCCTCTAAAGGGTTTTAGGAATGGACTTGCTCTCTCCCTCCTCCTCCCCTCGCCTCTTTTTTTTTTTTTTTTTTTTTTTTTGACAAGTCAGAAAATTGTGAAGTAAGCGAGCAGAGTAACTGAGAGCTGAGAGGGAGAAGACACTTCCATTCTTTTAGTGCAGTGGGCTGAGGCAAAAAGGCCATTGTAATGGTAAATCGCATGCAGAAAGGAAGAAAAGACTGATAATCAATCACAAATGAAGCATTCGTTTGGATTTTGGCAATTTACTGGCCGGGGGCTTTTAAATCCATAAACTTTTTCTTTTTTTTTTTTTTTCTTTATTTTTTTTCCTTTCTTTCTTTTTTTTGCCCCCATCTTTAAAAGCAGTTTTGATCTGCCTAAAGCAGGAAGAGAAATCTTTCCCGAGCTCTCATGCTCAGAGTAGCTGGGAATGGGGAGAGCTCAGTGCTGAAACTAAAATCCCGGTGGAGAAGCGGCGCAGTGAAATGTGGATGGGGCTGTTTTTAACCCATCACCTTGGACTCCGGCTCTGAAGCAGAACTTTCCACCTCAGGCTCTTCTTGTTCCTCCTGTTCAGGGATGACTTGCGGTGGGCTTCTGGGGACTTTGATTTCCGAGCTGGTCCTTCTGTGACTGCCTGAGTGGGTTTTGTGTTTGCCTGAGTATGTGATTAGGACAGATGAGGATGCTAGACAACATTAACAGCAGCATATCCCCTTCAGAGTGCAGCATCACCCACAAGGGAAGATACATCTACCTGGAGGCACTGCTGCACGGAGGTGCTCCATGGGGATTCACGCTGAAGGGCGGGCTGGAGCACGGAGAGCCATTAATCATCTCCAAGGTAATTGCTCTCATTTTCTACGCCATGCAAGCAAGGTGGGAGTGGTGCCCGAGTCAGAGGGCAAGAGTTGTGGAAGTAACACCGAAATGTTATAACTGACCTTGTATTTGGTTGGGGTTTGAGCGCTGAGCACCTGTTTGGGTCAGCAGCTTTGCTCAGGAGCTGCGTGTTTGAGAAACACAGGAGAGCTCTTGGCATTGTTTAACTATCCAAGTGCAGGTTTTGTCCCGCAGGAAGTGGCTGTATTTATTTCACTGCCATCAATGGGAGGGAGCAGGGGACTCTGGTGAAGTGATCTTGTGTCGTGAAGCCGTGCCATATCTGAGCACGGTCAGTAATCCATCCATCCCCGCCACTCCTGAGGTAAAACACCGTGCGTGCTTCCAGCCACACGGAGGAATGTGGGCTAATTAGGAGTGTGTGTGTGAAACTGTGCAGTAAACTCTTGCACCTCGTTGGTAAGTGGTTTGCTCACCCTGCTTAGTAAATATCTGTTAAGTATGGTACACCTTCAAGAGGTTTGCTACTTAATGATTGGGTATTCTCAACAGGCGACTAGAGGCATAGCTCTCAAGGATGTTTTGAGGGGGGAAAATGGGAGAAGGAATTCCTTGTTCTCATCAGAACTGATGCTGAAGACCATGGATTTTCAAAAGCATCACCCTAAGTCTTTGAATATCTAAAATATGTTTGACCTACGACCCTAAAACTGTTCTGAAAATAGGATATAGGTAATTCTGAAATTTCACCTCTAGTGGTTCCTAACCATATGTGTCCTGTGTCATCAATCTGGTGCGTTCTGTGTTTATAGTGTGTATGTTAAACTACCAGTGCACAAACTGACTTTTGTCCAAACCTACTCCCTCCTGCAAACTGGAATGTATGTGGGGAATTCAATGAATCACAACCAGCAGCAGATACAAGAAAATGCTGATACTCAGAATCAATGTTGTTCAAATCCTTTGCATTTTCAAATTCCGTTGCAATTCCCTGTGCAAACACATTCACGTGAAGACTGTCAGTCACTGACGTAAATTAGTTATGATTACTACATTTACATGTTGAAAAAAAAAAGGGGGGTCCTATTAAAGTCTTTTCAGCGTAAAGGGATTTTAGAAATGTCATGCAATCATCCTTCTTGCATCTTTCATCTTCTTGGAGGCAGTTTGGCATAGCCACAGACACAAAAGCCAGTCTCACTGAAATGGTGGTTTTAATTTTTCTTTTATAAACACTTGGGACTAACACAGGCTGTTCACTGTTCCTGGCAGTGTTCTGCAGTTGTGAGGAAAGACTTTCTTTTTCCTCTGACATTCCTCTGTGATGTAAAAATTGCACTCCCTCCTTTTTTCCTTCTTTCCTTTCTATTTTTTTTTAATTGGGGGCAGGGAGACAGAGAGGATGGGAGATGGCTCTGGCTGCTGAACATTAATTAATCTATGGGATTTGGTTTCCACAACAACCAAGCCCCTTAATGTCAAACATGCCCGGAGTGTGCACAGTGCCACTGGGAGCTGTATGATTTGTGCCTGCCTTTCCTGAAACAACACTGCAAAAATGTGCTGGGTTTTATTTTTGGTGGGGTTTTCCCTTTTTTCTCCTCGTAGTCCCTGCTTGGTTTGTGCTATCAGTGTCAGCATTTCAGTGTTTTGCTCATGCATGGGTGATGCAGAGCTGGAGAATGGCTGCATGTGAAAGCTCTGCTTTCTGGAATGCAGGCAGCTCCTGTTTCCTGGTTTCCAGTTTCAACTGAGAAATTCCTCTGGTGCTTCAATTCACTATGTGCTCCTCAGAATTAATTGCATATTACTCATTTAGTTAATTCAGCGTTCCTTGCCTGAGTGTACTGTGAAGTAATGAGGAACTGTGGGGAAATGATGAATTATGTTACAGATTTAATTCTGTACAAGAGTGCTTGGAGAATCATAAAAAGTTTTAGGTTGAAAAGGACCATTAAGGATGCAGGCACTGGGAATGATCCAACAACAGTTCCAGATAATACTACAAATGCTTTTTTGCAGCAAATCACTTTACACTGTGGAAAAAAAAATAAGAATCATGCATCAGTTTCTAATAACAAAGTAATTCTTAAGATTCTTAAATGTTTCCCTGAGAGAAGCCTCAGAATAAAGCTTTGTGGAATCCTCCCAGCATGTTTTTATTGTACCAGCAGGAAAGAAGGGGAAGGATGGCAAAAGGTAGGCAGTTGCATGTTCCTTTTCTGCTGCACCTCAAGGAAATGCCCAAAACTCAGCAGCTAAAGGAGCACCAGAATATCCTTAGGCAGCAGTGGGACAGTGCCCAAAAAGAGGCAAATTAACACCATGTATTTTCCTTTTTATATTAATTGTGTGGTACAGAACATGCAGTCAATGACATGTGGTCAAATAGTCCTTTGGCAAGAAGGTTCTCACGTTTTTAATTACTTTCCTTTTTTAAAAAAACAGGACACTTGCTTGTTTTGGTTTTAGCATTTACACCCATTGGTGCTTAAAAAGTAACTCAGTGTCCTCTAAGTGTCACTAAGACTTCAAAATGAGTAGAAGTCAGATTCCCTGAAGTGACCTCCACTCCTCTGTTTCTAGACCTTGGGTCCTACAGCTGAATTTCTGATTTTTTGTTATACCTGTTTAGTAATTTAGAACCCTGTAATTTTGGCCCAATTTGAGGATATTTGCTTGCAGTGGAAATTTCATTAAACAAGTGGTTTTTTCATCTGGAAATAGAACTTCAATGACAAATGCCACAGTGATACCAAGTGTTTAATAAGAATCCAATATTCTGTGGCCTCAAAATCATGATAATACCCAGAAGTAAACCCAGATTTCTATTTCCAAATTACTTTTTTGGCTCACCCTTAGCTGCAAAAATGCAAAAATGAAAGCCCTGACTGTTATAGGCAGTAAAGGCAAACTGGTAAGAGAAGGTAAGGTTTCATTCCCTCTCAATTTTCTCTAAGAATTTTTAACCTTAGGTAATTAATGTTAATCAGTCTGAACCATTTTGGAGCCAGGAGAGGTATTTCTGTGGTGTGTTTCTCCTCGCTACACAAACCTTTGGAACAGCTCTGGCTGTTGTAGGCCTCTGAAACGCCCTTTTATTTTGAGCTCCGTGTTGACAATGCTAACAAAGGAGTTGTTTCTCTTGCCTAGGAATTAAAGCATCCAAAGCCTTCTCCCTGGGATGGTGGCTGTGTGGGAACACTTTTCACATGCTGTGCTGGAGTTCATGGGTTCCCTTCACTCAAAAGGACAGGTCGTTTGCAGGGACCTCATGCCAAAAGCATGACACAAACTCTGAGGTTTACCTCTCAGCAGGGATGCAGGAAGCAATAAAAGTTTAATAATAATGGGAATAGTTTGGGACAGAGCCTGAGAAATAATCTGGAATTCTTGTTAGGTGTTTAAACCTTGTCTGGAGCCTGATCCAAACTCTGATGGTTTGTGCTCTCAGTCAGTGCTTGCAGGGGCTGGACCCAGCTGCCTTCACAAGGCTCCCTTGCCTGTGCTACTTCTCTGGTATTTTTGGTTGAGGGAGCTCAAAGAGCACTTAGTGATGTGCAGTGGGAATTGTTCCACCATTCTTGACAAAACAAAACTCAAAAGGCCATTCTGTACCCAGCTGGTCCACAGACACTTAGCCCTGTCTGATCCAAGCATTGGGAATCAGTGTTCTCCCAGCAGCAGGAGCTCGGAGCTTTCCCCTCTTGAATGCCCAGAGTCCCCTTAAACAAAATAAAATTATCTTATGCACTGACAGGCAAAGTTCCTTTGCACTGTTCCCTGCATCCCTTGGTGTGACAAGTGGCAGTTTAGGAACATTTACCCTTTTTGTAGGGCTGCAGGCACCAAACCCATGGCCCATGCTCATGTTAGGGAGGCTTCTCTGAGGCTGGCAGAGTCATGAGAGACTTGTTGGCCTGGGCATTAGGGCATGAAACTGAGCCAGAGGCACAGTGACATCTTCTGTGATTTATTTGAAATTTATTGTAATTTTTCTTTGGACATTTCCACCCCCGTTGCTGTCAATATGGACTTTGTTTTTCTCCTTGCTGCTGAAGAATAGCTCAGGCCCGTGTTGTTAATTTTTGACAAAACCACCCCTTCTCACCCTTTATCTTCCAATTTTCTGCAAGTGGGCTGGTGATGGTGAGGGGTCCACGGTGCAAAATCCTCTGCTGGCACATCTGTCTCCTGCTGCAGGCAGTGCACAGGGCAGATGTCTGATCCCAGAAACCAAGGAGATGTGGATGCTGCAGACTGGCAGCTGCCACAGTAACTGTGTGAGGAAGCAGCAGGCAGTTCCTCACCCCTCTTCCTAGCTTCCCAGGGCTCACATCAGGGCCTCTCCAAAGACAGCACAAGGGACAGGATCCCTACCTTTTCTTAAAGCGAGGGAGTTGCTGCATGAAAAGGCTTCTATTGTCAGCCCCCCCATCAGGCTGCCAGGCATTCTCCAGCACAAAAAGACTTCTGTTCACTTCCACAGCACTGCATTAGCAGCCACAGGCAAGCCCAGAGCCTGACGTGCGCAGGGCCTGTGGGCACTGCTGCTGCCCCAGCAGGGTCAGGGCAGCTTTCAGACTGCTGAGGGGCACTGCCAGCTGTGCTGTGGTGCATCCCAGGCAGCCTGGCTGCAGGGAATACCAGGCTTCTCCCAGGCTATGGATCCCCAGGGGCGCAGACAACTATGTTGTGAATGTGCCTGTGGAAGGAAAAGATGATGAAAAGGATTTCTCCGTGCTGAGAAGGGGTGGGGATGGCAGCTGCCAGATGTTGGGGTCCAGCTGACCAGTCATACTTTAGTTTCCTCCTCAGCAGAGGTCAGCCCAAGCTGTGAGGTTTTGGCCTAAATCCACGAAATCCTCTGAAAGATCAGGTCTCCACCCCTCATGGCTGCCACAGGAGTTACTGAGTGTCATGTCCTCCAAAGTCACAGAAAGGTATAAGGGAAGAAATGTTTTCCTCTCAGGACAGAGAGGAATCCTGTGTGATTAAACA